GGAGGATTTATAGCAGCCCCTAGAGGTCCCACAGTACTAGGTGCTAGTAACGGTCCAGGCTCCCCCATCCAGTGCGACAGAGCAGCCTCCGCTTCTCCACAAAGCCCCCGCCTAGCACTAGTTGGGGTGGGTGCAGGTGCAATGGAGGCACTACGCAGAATGGCACCGGAAGAGTCCAGCTGTCCCTGAAGGCACTCAGGTCCCACGGTGATGAGGACAGAAGCTGCTGCTGGTGCCTGAATTCCCAATGCTGGGGCCACCAACATGTGCTGCATTTTTTAGATGTTCCCTTCCTACTTCCATGACTTTACACTGCATCCTGCATGCCCGAGGGGGCTGTGCGCTGCTCCTTGGGAGCATTCCCCCCCGGGCCCCGGCTGCTCAGAGCGACGGGGACAGAACCAGGGTTAAATTCAGTTGGAGCTGTGCAGAGCAGAGCTCTGGCAAATATTTCCAACCCCCCTGGAGTTTTTAATAGCATCTTGGGGGTGGGGGGTGCTCTGGGAAATCCTCTGTGAGAATTTAAGCCCTGGACAGAACCTCTCTCTTCACAGGACTGTATTGATCTGCCACCTTCACAGAGTCACACGCAAACCCCCAAGCAGCTGCTGATCGTTTATTGCACAAGAAATTGGCATCACTGAGGCAGGATGGTGCAGTACAAAACTATCAAGGTTACCGCTCCAAAGCTATTGCAATTTGTTGTATCCATAGACTTCATTATATACAGCTATGTACACAGATGCTCTCACACGCATGCGGGGCCCACCCCCCACGCACACACCAACACTTGGGCCATTGCTGTCCTCAGACCTGGGAAGGGCGAACTCTCTGAGGCAGCAGCCTAGGCCGGCAGAGGCTGTAGAATAAGGAAACAGCAGAGAGCTGGATTCTGCCCTCACTTACAGCAGCGTAACTCCAAGGGCTTCTGCTCTCCACCGCGGTCTAGGACAGAAGAATCAGGCCAAGAGTTTCCACTTGAACCCACAGACGGAGCAAAGGCCACACGAGCTCTTCGCACATGGGCACTCAGCTGCCGGGCTCAGGGCAAGTCGGGAGGGGTCACTGCTGTGAAAAGCTCTCTGCTCGTTTCAGCGGCGAAAGAGCCCGTTTCGCAGCCCTCAGCTGCAGTCGCTGCAGGACCGGAGCGCGAGAGAACAGCGCGTTGTCTGTACAAAACACGAGCGGAGCCTCTAGAATCCTATTAAAGAGCATCACCACCACCTAGCAATACATTCCATTGAAATAGTTAAATAGAGAGCACGGGGGCCACACACACTCGCAAATCAAAGCACAGGCCTATGCCCCCGTCTGCCTGCCTCGGGGCGGCCCTCCCCACTGGTCACTCCTTCGGGGCAGAGTTCCCAACCACATCCATCCTGTGCAGACACAACTGACAGGTAGGGGCGCCCCCCGCCCACTGGCTGGGAAGGAGCCGGCTGAAGGTCAGTGGGAGTTTTGCCATTGCCTCTGTTGGGGGCAGGACTGGGCTCATGGACGTCACTACCCAGCACCACCTGAGTAGGCGCTTTAGTTACTTTAATCGATACGCCAGGAAAAATAGACGTGAAAAACGACCCTTAAAAAGCAGTTCCCTGCTCGTTTGAATGCTAAAAAGCTCTGTCCAGCGCTAGGCCCTGGCAGGAGCTTCCCCAGACAGAAGTGCCCACCCGGCCTTGCTGTCTCGGGCCGTTCCGAGCAGCCCCAATCCAAAGGGACGTTAGCTCTGTGCACTAACAAAGGAAAGACACCGCAGGAAATCACTGGGTTTGTTTGGAATTCTCTGCTTTCCATTCATTCAATGCCCGTTTTCCAGGTGGCAGAGGTAACGATTGCACACATTTCTTTGGTGCAAAGTGGCTCGGGGAGGGGGAGGTGTCTTCACTACTGCCCAGCCTTGGGGGGACACTGCCGTCTCTCGGGGTCCCTGCTGCAGGCCCAAAGACCCCAAGGTCTGGAGCTCAGACACTGGGCTGCAGTTGGATGGTGACTGGAACTTGTACAGGGTCCAGCCCCCAGGAGGGCACCACGTGGCAAGGGGCCAGTGATCCAGCCCCCTCCCAGCCATCCGCTTCGTTCCCCCTCAGTAGTGGCATATGGGTGGGCTCTTGTGTCCGTCTCCCCCCTAACACCTTGGGCTCGCTTTGGAGGTGGGGGGGGCAGCCCGTCTGCCATTGGGCTGCATTGGCACCAGCCTAACCCAGGAACAAGAGTGACAGACAAACTCCCAGGGAGGGCGGGAGGGAGACAGACAAACTGCTCTCTGCCTGCCCTGAGAGCGAGAGCACCCAGCGTGCAGCCTACTCCAGACGCTGCTCTGCCCTGGGCCGGCCGAGGGGTGCCGGGGAAGGAGCAAGCGTCATTACTCCTGGCCAAAGCCTTCTGTCTCCTCAATGGCATACAGCAGCTTCTCCTTCAGCTGTTCATAGCTCTTGTAGGGAGGAAGATCCAGGCGGTTAAAGCTGGCGAGAAAACAAAGGCTGTCAATGCAGTGGCAATTCCCCCCTTCCCCCGCCCCCATGCTCTCCTGAAGCAGGGGCATCTCCCTGCTCTCTCAGCCACGCTCTGGGGCTGCACTTTGAGATGCATAAGCTGGCCCCAGCACACGGAAGTTGTGGCCACATCCCCTGCAAAGCCCATGGTGGAGCTGGTTTGAGAGCAAGCAAGGGGTAGCCCCACGTAGACTGCTTGGATTCACCCCCATCTGCTCCAAGAGGAATGAGACTCACCAGGTGTGACTCCGGGGCAGCCACGTCTCTTTGCCAACTTTATCGATGCAGAACTTCTGCGGACCATTACTGCCTGTCAGTCACGAACAGAACAACTCATTACATTACAGGAAAGGAAACACTGAAAGCTGGAAAGGACACTTCACATAACATCTAGCTAACCGGTGGAACTCACTGCTATAAGATCTCATTGAGGAAAGAGCTCAGTAGAGATTTATATGGGTAATAAGATTACCCACAGTAACACTAACTAGGATAAACATTTCCCTTATCAGGTAATACAACTCTTGTGCTCCAGGGCTGAAGCCAACTTTACCAGCTTGGGATCAGGAAGAAATTTCCCCAATAGGTATGTTAGTGCATAAATGGCCACTAAGGGGTTTCTTCTACCTTCCTCTGAAGCAGCTGGTACTGGCCACTGACAGGATGCTGGACTAGACAGACCATTCATCTGGCATGCGATGGCAAAGCTGGGCTACTGGTGGCAGTCCATTAGAGATCACCAAACCAGACTAGAAAGCAGGACTAACAGCTCTTTAAACAGCTACATATAATGTGCAGGAAGAAAAACTTATCATGGGGGATTTCAGTCTGAGGGACATATGCTGGAGGTCTGCTGTCATGTTGGAAATGTCCCTGGAGTTTCTAAAAATTATAGACAATTTTCTAACACGAAATATTGCAACCAGCTCAGGGTAATTCCATATAAGACCTCATTTTGATATCTGAAGATGAACTGATCACTGAATAAAAATTGTGGTTGTCTAGGTGAAACTGATCATGACGGATCACATTTGTTATGAGCAAACAGTATATAGTCCTGACCAGTAATACATATACTTTGGACTGAAAGTTGAAAATCATTATGAGTAAAAATGATTAGGAAGAAAAATGGAAACAATTTAAACAAAACATGAAGGATAATTGGGAGTTGTCTAGGAAAACTAAACTAAATACCCAACAAAACACAATTTCACAATTACAAAGGAATGCTTCTTCAGTTAAAAAATATCCTGATTAATAAGAAAAGTAAAAACAGAACTAAAAATAATATATAACGAATGGAAAAAGAAGAAAGTTAATAGTAATGACTATAAATGAACAGTGATGAAATGCAGACGATTGATAAGGGAGGCTAAAGGTATCAGTGAAAAAAATCTATGCCCAGTAGGTTTAAGGAATATTCACAGCTCCATGGAATATTCATAGCTTATAGTAATAATGGAATACTTTCTATTCCAACAGTAACAAGGGAGGATGTTAAATAGCAACGGCTAAAGTTAAACATTTTTAAACATGCAGGATCGGATAACTTCAATTCAAGAGTTTTAAAAACAATTGGCCAAGGAACTCTCTGAGCCACTGATGTTGATATTTAACAAATTTTGGAACACTGGGGAAATTCCAGGGGACTGGGAAAAAAGCTAATGGGACAGTATTTAATAAGGGAAAACAGGATAACCTGGGTAACTATATGCTGACTAGGTTTACATCAATTCCATGAAAATAATGGAAAAGCTGATACAAGATGCAATCAGTAAAGAATTAAATGATGGTAGCATAATTAATGCCAAACAGCTGGTTTTATGGAAATTCGGTTTTGTCAAACAATACTGATCCCATTGTTTGATGAGATTACAGGTTTGGTTGACAAAGATAACTGTGTTGACAGATATCCGACTGCTGTAAGGCATTTGGCTTAAAATGTGAGTACAACATTTGGTTACAAATGTGAGAGCTGGGGGGAATTCTGTCCCTTCTCTGTGCCCTACCTTACTTCCCTGCCTTTGTAAATGCTCTGAGCTGTACCACGGAAAGGCAAGTATAACAGTCATAACATTGCCCCCCTCTGCACCCCGCCCTTCCACACCACTGGACTATCATGAGCCTCTCTCTCCTTTATCCCCTCACCCCCTTCCTGTGCACCCTGGGGCAGCTGGGAAATAAATACCAATGAGCTCTGCGAATCCTCCAACTGGTAAGCGGCAGGTCCCTGTAACGAACTGTAAAAGCCGGATCCTCTTCTCATTGTCCATCTCCTTAATCACCTGCAATCAACAGAGTAGATACAATGAGAGGGATTCTGCCATCACCTGTGTGCTCCTGGCTTCAGCAATGGTGCTTGGGATTGGGGGGCGGGGGGACAGCATCTCTCACTCCTGCCTCAGTGGCTCCTGTCCAGCTCCAACAGGAAACCAAACCGCAAAACACAGAGCATCCCCCAGACACCGAGGCTGCAGGATCTAATCTATGCTCCACAGGGGTGCAGGATGGGAGTAGCGCCCAGCCTGAGAATCCTCTGGAGAGATGACTCCACGCCCGACCCGGAGTCTCCCGGACACGGGCTTTACCCCGCACTGCCCTGGCTGAAGACCAGTTTGCTCCCCTTCTGCTCACTGAGGAGAAGAGGCACCTGAATTGGGGCTGCTTTATTTCCAGCCTCTTTTGTCACCGTCTCCCATCCTGCCTCCCCCGAGAGCAGCAGCTATTGTTGGAAACAGGCTGACCACTAAGTGCTGCCTGCTGCCCTGAGCAACTCCGGAGCCGCTGCCAGCTACGACCAAAGCCCTCGTGCTGAAGACATGCTCGGTTTCATCTCATTCTGCCTGGAGGCTGGTGAGCAGTGGAGCGCGGCCGATCCTGCCTCCCAACCCCACTCCCTTCGGGACGGCTCCCAGGTGCCTTTCAGGCTCACCTGCCAGAACCACTGGATCTGCTTGCTGTTCTTGGTGTAGTGCCGGTAGATGGTGTTCTTCTGCCAGTCACTCATGTCCATCTCCTGCATGCCGCAGAGCATCAGCTAGGGAACCAGGGGACAAGTCAGCAGCCAACCACAGACTCTCCCCCACCCGCACTCTAAGCGGGAGAATGGCTGGAGTGGCACATGCACCAGTTCCTCCAGGGTCAGACTAGGCAGTGGGGTTCCATTTCTGCCCACGACCCAGGCACTGGAGAAGTCAGGGGCTCAGCAGGAAGTCTCCAGCTCGGTAGGGGCCAGCCCGGCAGTAGGTCACCTGCTCTACAGGCTCGACAACTTCCAGCAGGCGGCACGAGAGCTTGTGTCTGGATAATGCCCCCCTGCCAGGGCAGCATTTCAGGAGCAGAGTTAAATACAAACTGTATTTTCACTAGGCCCTGAGCCAGACTGGGGGGGGGTTCTTGGCCATTAGCCGGCAGCCCCTCCTGCCCCAGCTGATCGTAGGACCTCTCTGCTGTGGGACAGCGAGCACCAATGCTTGGGACTCGCCCAGCCAGGGGCGCGGAGACCCAGCAGTTCGCTGACTCACCTCTAGCTCCTTCTCATCGAAGTACCGCAGCCACTCCAGCGGCGCCACCTCATTGAAGCCATCCAGGAAGGCCTTGGTCTGCTCCTCCACACCCCGCGTGAACCTCCAGTCCGTCAGCAGCCTGCAAGGGCAGACGTGCAACCCGGGGCGCACCCCAGCCAAGCTCTCAGACATAGTACCCGCAACCAACCCCCAGAGCCCTGCAGGATCCCGCCAGCCCTGCCGTCTGAATCTCTGATGTTCCCGGACAGCAGCAGGGCAAGTGCAGGGGAGAGGAGTCGGGCAAATTCTCAAGGTTCCTCCCAATCGTTTCTTGTGTGGTGTTCCTGCCTCCCAAAGCCCACAGCGGTGGCTCTCTGCCCGCAGAGGGCACTTTGGGAACAGAGACCTGCTGTCGTGGGTGCGCTGGCGATGCCTGTCCACAAGGCTGGCCTGGCCACGGGGATGCACCAACTCGAACCGGGTTTGGAGGATTCTGCTGCTGCCTGGGCCCAACTCAGCACTGAACCAGCAGCACCCCGAGCTGTGGTGGGCAGGCAGCTGAGCGGCTGCAGCCGCAGGGCCTGGGGCAGAGGGAAATAAGAACCTCCCCCAATGCTCTACCTCCCCTCTCAAAGTGCTGGCAACCCCGCCCCACCCCCAGCGCCAGATCCCGACTGAGCGCTCAGGGCTGCGGTAGGGCCACCCAGCCCACAGCCCATCGCCTCCTGCCTGCTGCCCACGTCAAAGCCAAGTAGCGCCGGGAGCAGCCCCATGCCCCCGAGCCCCATACTCCATGCCAAGGTGGGGGGAGAGCCCAGGCACTGGTACTCACATGATATACTCTTCCTTATTCTCCTCCGTCACCCGGATACTCTCCCCTCCTTCCTTCAGCTCATGTGTTGTCACCTTGCCCAGAATCTCCATGTCCTGGATGAAGTACAGCTCCAGGCCACACTCCTCCAGGCTGTTCTCCCTGGGGGAGAAGCAACAAAAGGAACATTAGCCTAGCTGCACCCAGCAAGGCGAGATCTGGCAGGATGGGGGCCGCAGCACTCCCTAAAGGTACCCTGGGGTCATGTGACCAAGCTGCATGCCTTGGTACGGCTGCTTGGAGATTTCACAGGCTCATGTGCCGGCGTTGGTGGGTTTGATACACCAGGCCCGAGGCAAGATCCTCAGCACATCGAGCCCTGGACTGTATGGGGACTTCGCCCCATCCCCCCTAGAGAAGCAGGGACCCTGGGCTGACAGGGGAGAGGCACTGACTTGATCCAGACGATGGAGTTGTAGAACTCAGGGTCGATGGATTCCAGGTCTTTCAGCGTGGGTCTCTTGTTAAGCATGCGTTTGTAGAAGGGGAGCGTGAAGCCAGTGTCAATGAATTTTCCATGATACAGTGCCTGCGCGGGAGAGAACACCCCGGTCACGGGCTCTGGGTCCCAGCATGGCCACGGACGCTGCCAAAAGCGGCACCTGGGCCGGCGGAACGTAGCGACTAAAGCACCCGACACGGCTCCCCTTCCACTCCCGCCCGGTGGCTGGGGGAGCCGCGTGCCGGGGGACCCTGAGGCTAGCCAGTGAGCCAAGCGGGACCCTGAGCCTCCTGGGACCACGGAGCACAGCCAGCAAAGGGGACAGGTCCCAGAGGTCGTGACTAGGAGAACATGGCCCCTCATGATGACACTGGAGTCCTGCTTGCAGCGCCGGGAATGCAGAGCACCCAACTTCCCTCCCACCCCCAATTCCATGGCGTCTCCCTCTCCGTTTGCAGCTCTATTAAGAGCACTTGTTTAAACAGCCCTGCTGTGGCCGCCCTGGATCCTGGCTTCCAGAAGCCTCACGGCAAAGGCAGCCAAAAACAATGCAGACGCTTGTCTGGAGCAGCCCAGCGGTGATTAATAGTCGGGGAGTTTATGGGGATCCGGCTCTGCTCCGAGCAGGGCCGGGCGGCTGGGAGAGACCTGGGAAGAACATACCAGCTTCCTGAGCATGGCCCCATGGAGGGGCTGATCCCAGAGCCAGGGGACTCTGAGCCCCAGGCCGTGGGGAGATGGGGCCGGGCCCAGGCCACCAGAGACAGGGGGAGTTGCTGGCGTTTGGGCAGCTGGAAAATCTCACATTGTTGGGGCTAAAAATAGCCCCCAAAGCTGCAGATCCACTGGGACACTGGGGTGGCAGCCAAGGAGCTGGGCACATCCCGCAGTCCAGCTGGGCGAGGCCCCGGGAACCGCCTCCGAGACACACACACCCCCCAGAACCGCCTCCGAGACACAGACACCCCCCCCAGAACCTCCTCCGATACACAGACACCCCCCCCCAGAACCGCCTCCGAGACACAGGCTCCCCCCCGAGACACAGGCACCCCCCCCAGAACCTCCTCCGATACACACACACGCCCCCCCGAACCTCCTCCAAGACACACACACGCCCCCCCCGAACCTCCTCTGAGACACAGGCACCCCCCCCAGAACCTCCTCCGATACACACACACCCCCCAGAACCTCCTCCGATACACACACACACACCCCTCAGAACCTCCTCCGAGACACACACACGCCCCCTCAGAACCTCCTCCGAGACACACACACGCCCCGCCCAGAACCTCCTCCGAGACACACGCACACCCCCCAGAACCTCCTCCGAGACACACGCACACCCCCCAGAACCTCCTCCGACACACACACACACACACACACACCCCAGAACCGCCTCCGATACACAGGCCCCCCTCCCTGGCCACCCCAATGTGCCTCCTCCGATACACAGACCCCCCCCAGCCAATACACAGACCTCCCCCCACCCCTCCCGGCCACCCACTGAACCTCCTCCGGCCACCTCCTCTGATACACAGACCTCCCTGCTACCTGAACACCCCCCCGAACCTCCTCCAATAGACCCTCCCCCCTCCAGCCAGCCCGATGTGCCTCCTCTGATACATAGGCCCTACTCTCGCCCCACAATACACAGCCCCACAGAGACATCCCGCTCCCCTCCACCCCAGACACAGACCCCCGAGCCCCATGCCCCCGCCCCACTCACAGTGCACCCTGACCCCCAAGCTGTTCCTGAGGCTGCAGATCTGGTGGAGCCCACAGTCCGGCCAAGCACACGGCTCCTCCCCTCCGAGTCCTGGCCTCTGGGATGGAGCCACCGTTGGTGCCATCTATGCCCTCCCCACCCCCCAAGTCGAGGCTGGGCCGCAGCTGCTCCTGCACACCCAACCCGGGCCAGCCTGCTTGCTGCTGGCCCTCCAAGGAGCTGGGCAGGCAGCTCCCCCTCCGGGGCCAAGGCTTGGAACATTTTCGGGTTTAAGTGGCCAATCCCAGCCCCTCCTCCCCACATGGCTTGCCATGCTTGGGGCCAGGCCTGCTCTCCTCACTGACTGGCCCCTTTCTCCGCCCGGCGCCGGGGCGCTCACCATGGCGATGAAGCGGCCGATGAAGCGGAAGTAGGTGAGGTGGTCGGGGTTGATGGAGGAGGCGGGGTTGATCTGCAGGCAGTAGTTGTTCTTCCCGGCGTATTCGAACAGGCAGTACATGGGGTTGAGCACCTCGTGGGACAAGAGGAAGAACCATTCCCTGTGGGACGAGAGACCAGAGCGCAGTGACGGGGGTGCTCGGCGCCCCCAAGAGGGCAGAGCTCAGCCGCTCCACTCCTGCTCTCCAGGCAGCAGGCCCCGGGCCCGGGGGGCAGCTGGCAGGCGGGCCTGGGCCTACTGGCCCCTGCATACAAAAGCTTCACCTGGGGAAAGGGAGCAGCCCAGACGCCTTCGCTCAGCCCGCCCATGCCTTCTTCTGCAGCACACCCCATACACACTAGCCCGGCTCTGCTGGGCTCTTTCTGAAACAGCAGGGGGAGGGGGGTCCCCACTATCCCAGGTCAGCCTCCACCCCAGAGGCAGCTGCATTTCAGCACTTCTACGTGTAGCCTGGGAAGCATTTTAGGAGACAGCAGCATGACAAAGGCTTGGAAAACATCCCAGTGAACATGGGCCCTGGTGCGTCCAGCACTCACTGGCATCGGCCCTTGGCCTGGCAGGGGTGCCGGGGGCTCCAGGGAACGCCTGTCCTACATACACGTCCCCCTGCCCAGGTCTGCACACTCCCACCAGCCACACACACCTGCCTGCCTGTCCCCCACTCACTCACCCACTCACCACCCGCCCACACACAAACCCCACACGCCTGCTCACCCCCAGTGCACCCATATCCGCGCCCAGAGCACAGACACGCCCCCCCTGCGCCCAAAGCACAGACACCCTCCCCGCCCAGGCCTGCCCGCACCCAGAGCACAGACACCCCCACCCCTCCCCCCCCCCCCC